ATTGAAATTTGAAGGTAAATGGGTGGATCTAGAAACTATTACACTAAGTGAAGTAACACAGACTCAGAAAAACAAACGATGTATGTTCCCCTCATAAGTGGATCCTAGCACCAAATCCCTTTAAATAAGTTGATGCTGTACAGCAGTCCCTTCTGCATGAAGTTACTACCATAATCACGACTTCAGCTAAGCCTGATCGCTAAACATAGTCACAGTTGGTCTTACTGACAGTTGTGCTCATTCACTAAAGGAGTGCCAAGCAGGGTCACTGGACCCTCACCTGAGTATCCAGCCACTCTTCTCAGCCTACTAGTACAGCCTTGGAAGACAAAAGGAAAATGAGGAAGAACCCAATACAGGGATGCTTTTGGAAGCTCTTGTCAAGAAACTCCAATGGACTCTCATATGAACATTTGAAAATTGCCCTGTTCTATGATTCAAGGACTTTCTTTTCCCCTTAGAGACAAGAGTTATGCAATTTGGCAGTCTTTTAAATAGACCCACTGAAGGAGTACTCCAATTGCCTCACCCTGAATCACTGTTCAGCATGGAAGAAGCCAGAGAGGTCTGTGTCCCTATTCCCTATTGGCAATTTAGGTAACCTCTTCAGAGGATGGTGTGATAAGAATAGGAGGTAGGAATTGGCTAGGCAGTTAGGGTAAAAAGACCCCAAAGAAATGTAGCTACTTTCCTGGCTAAAAGTCAAAATGCCCTTGGACCTGTTAGCAACATACTCTGTTCCAAAGGCCAAAAATGTCAAAAGTATTTGGGAACTTGTAGCTAATCCTTAAAAGATTTTAGGGTTACCTCTTCAGAGAGGGAATGTCGGAGGGGAAGGAGTGGGCATGGATTTGATCAAAACACCTTATATGCATGTATGAAATTCTCAAAGTTTTTGTAAAAGAATTATTCTAAGGATGTAAGCAGGATCCTTACCGCTGTGAGCCCTATGTTGTTTTAGGTTTACTGTTCATTGAGAGCTGGGGGTGAAACTCTGCTAGGTCCATTTGGAATACAGTGACTAACAGATATGAGAGCCAGAGTGATTGTGGACACCAATTACAGCACTTGACTCCACGGGCAGAGAAGGCAGACTACAAATTCCAGGTCAGTCTAGGCTATATAGTGTCAAAAATAAAATAAAATAAAATAAAATAAAATAAAATAAAATACAACAACAAAAAACAAAGAACAAGAAAGCAATATCTCTCCCTTCAGCAAGATAGACATTCTTTCAAAGAAAGTGTATTTAAAGATCTTTGTAGAATTAAACAGTTAAGGAACAAGATAAATGCCATCTAATAGCATTTATTCAAAAATAAAAATTTCCTATATTTACAAACCAAACTTAACTCTGACACAAATCAAACAAAAAAACACAGCATAAGTTTTTTTTCCAAAAAATCAGATTATTGAATACTGAAAATATCATTTATTCACTACCTTGTAACCACAAATCAAATGAGGAAATTTTCATTATAAATTACATCCAAATGATAAAGTGTTATTCATTAAATTTTGCTATGATGCAATATAGAATAAAAAGATGTGTTTTGTTGTTTTATTTATTTTTGACAGGGTCTCCATAGTTCCAGCCTGCCTGGAAGTCACTATGTGGACCAGTCTATCCTGGATCTTGCAGAGATCTGCCTGCGTCTGCCTCTAGAGTGTTGGGATTAAAGGCACATGCCCCATGCCTGGCGTAAAAGAAGTTTATTTAATAAACTCTATCTCAATCATATTATTAACAGACTGTGAGCAAATCTCTGTAGACATTCACAGCACATCTAGGGATGAAACACTGAGGACCGCATTGAGTGAACGCTCAGGAGGGAAGTAGCAGGTGAAAATTATGTTCAGTGAGCATACGGAAGAGAAGAATGTAATAAAATCAAGAGAAACTTGAAAATCATACTAGATATATAGTATGCAGTATATATATATATAATATATATA